AGCTCAGGAACACGATGGTGTTATTTATATTGCTGTACGATGTCAAAAAGGTACTAAAAGTGGATTTGAAAAATATATAATTGTAAAATTTTGATAATAATGCGAATGCATGCTGGCTATTTTTGGCTATTTCTGAAGATATTGGGCTAAAACTTGCTAATGTAGTTCATCAGTGTGTGTTCTATCATATATATTCCAGTTTTTGCGAAAAGTCAAAAACATTTTGCAAAAATAAAAAAAATTGTATTTCTTGTAATTGTATAAACATATTCTTCAAAATTTTCAAAATTTCGAAAATTGGAGATGACAGTTCGATAGCTACGTGTATTTGTAGTCCACTCATGCAAAGAAAATGAATCTAGCTTTAAAACTGAGCTCTTGAGAGCGTTTGCCGTAATTCAATATTTTGCATCAAAATCGGCCGATATGACGTCACTCTGACGTCATTTACGGCCAAACTATGGTAGCTAGAAAGCTGAACTTTTAACACAAGGCGTCAAATTGATGCCGCTGAGGATACCCCAAGTTTCGTGTTGATCCGTCAAGCGGTTTAGAAGATAATGCTGAAAAACGGGAGAAGGGGCTCTGTAGAGCCCCCCACCCCCCAGTCATGCGCGGGTTAATTAATGCACTGTGCCGTACTGTCGAAATCGCCTCCACTATTACTGTAATGTGTGCACTGCCGCCTAAATTGGACGTAAAAAGGTGTAGATCGGCTGCCGTTAGTGAGGTCGGTTCTGTTCAGTCGACGGGGGGAGGGGGAATACGGGACGCAGCGGCTTTCGTTACAGCTCCGCTCCCACCACATAGCCCGTCTGACTTTGTTCACTCTCACTACAGCAACTGCGACAACGTGATTTTACCCGAGCTGCCGGCAAACTTCTCCAAGAGCCGCGAGTTTTGTCCGCTCTGCGAGTGCAAGTTTGAGAGTCGCAACACCACCACGATCAAGGTGCGGCTCAGAGGCGCTCGTGCATGTCCGGCGGGCCACATTCATTCATTGGTGGAAGCACTGTCTCTCAGTAGTTGATGTTGTTAACCCCCGCCCCGCTGGGGGCTTTTGAATTTCCATGTCGTGCTGGGGAGAGGGGTCGTTTGAACACCTTCTGACAACCTTCTGACTCGGCTCCTGACCATGTAGCGACACGCGCTAAGCAGCGCTTGAAAGAGCGCCGCTTACCGCGTGTTACGTGTGAAAACGAAATTACTTCTGTCATTTTTTTTAGACCAGTTCAAAGCTGTCATCAAACGTCATCGAAGGTCAGATTTAACCAATTTTTAAGTCTAACATTAACAATTTCCAACAATCGGCGCATAGCTCAGAAAGAGATAGAGCTGCAGCGCCGCGGAAAAGGGCACTCGATAGCTCTTGTAACGCTCTTTCTGTTAACTGTCCTCTGATTTGACCTAAGTTCAACTGTTTAGCATCCAGAGGGCAAAAAAAAACTGTCAAAATAGACTTCTTGCGGAAACACTTCCGAGCTGAACACGTCTAAGGTGTTTTCATCGCTCTAGCATGCCTTTGTCAAACGTTATTAGCGAAAACTATTGGACACCTTTCGTGACCTAAAATGGCCTCAGCCGCCTCAGGGACATAAGGAGGCATCATGATGGGTGCCATTATCCGGTTCAGTGTGTCATGTTTATTTGTAACTCGATGGTGTTTGTGAGTGTTTAAAATTGTTTAAAATGGCGTTCGTCCAAAGACGCGCCTTTAATTTTCTCCCATTGACCTATAATGGGGAGGTCGCAAAATTGACCCGACCTTGGTTCACCTGTGTTGAAATTCGGAAATATACATTTTTATACATACCAATTGTTGCCCTTATCAATTTCTGAAAGTGTCAAAGCGATCCATCATTCGGTGTAGATATGGCAAGCTTGGAACCTTTTCTAAGGTGAGGTCACATGACGTGACCTAGTGACTTGACCTTGAGAGACCTTGGTCTGAAATTTTCACAGCTTGTTCAGAAAAGATGCATGATAGGTGTGCCGTTTTAGATGCTTGCAAAAAACCGGAGGGTGTTCAAACGTGCACCCCCCCCCCCCCACCCCCACCCTCTCCCCCTCCCTCTAATAAAATTGGATTGTAGTTGGGTGTGCCGGTAAAAAAAAAAATAAAGATATTGTCCCGTTAGGTCCCAGAATTCCACCCAAAATTCTGAAACATGAAACACTGTCCCCCGCCCCCTCAGCAGGGCGTGGGTTAGCGGTCGTGTCGACCGCAGGACGACTGAAGTGCTCGTGTAGGTTTTTAGGTTGTGTCAAAGGCGGCTGTTATGTTACTGATGAATCACGTCGGGCTCTGCGACCCATAGCCGCCTGGAGCTCCCTCCGTGACTGACGGTCCCGCCACCGCTCCACTCGTGGCGCCCCGTGACGTGTGTGACGTGACGCCCACGGCCGGCTGCAGGTGGTTGTCATCCTCATCATCTGCATCATCTCGGTGCTAGTCATCTACATGACGTTCCTCAGCTGCTTGGACCCGATCCTGAACCAGCGCCGCGCCGCCGCCTCCGCCTACCAGCAGCAGACGGATGACGAGGTGGGTACAGCGCGGCTGCCACCCACAGCGGGCACAGCACCCAGCCACCCACCCACAGCGGGCACAGCACCCACTCACCCACAGCGGGCACAGCACCCAGCCACCCACAGCACCCACCCACCCACAGCACCCAGCCAGTGAATCGTGATTCTTTCTCATTCTGTTTAAAACGAAATTTCATCTTTGATGGTTGGCAAAATTCGAAGGTAAGATTCAAGTGATAACAAGTCGTATGACGGCGCGTTCCTAGCTTTCTAATGCGTACCATGCATTGTGAATTGTGATGCTCCTTGTCAGTGTGCTGTCCCGCTGCCCCTGTGCTCCGTGTCCCGCTGCCCCTGTGCTGTCCCGGTGCTGCCCCTGTGCTCCGTGTCAGTGTGCTGCCCCTGTGCTCCGTGTCTTTGTGCTGTCCCGTGCCCCTGTGCTGCCCCTGTGCTCCGTGCCCCTGTGCTGTCCCGTGCCCCTGTCATGTGCTCCGTGTCTTTGTGCTGTCCCGTGCCCCTGTGCTGCCCCTGTGCTGTCGCCCGCGCGGCCGCTGACGCCGCGCCGACGCGCCGCCGGCAGGACGACCTGGGCGGCCGGATGGCCCAGCCGCTGTACGAACAGGGCGGTGTGCTCAACCGGGTCGGCAACCGACAGGACCGCTGGAAACGACAGGTCCAGGAGCAGCGCAACAACATCTACGTCCGACGCACCATGCTCAACTAGGCGGCTCGGCGCCCGGCGGCGCGCCGCCCGGGGACAGAGCTAGCGGCCACAGGACGGCACGGCACCGGCCAGACGCTGCACCGGCACATCGGTCGCGTCACACTCCTGTCTGCAGGCGGAGCTCTCTCTAGGAGTCTTTGTCTCGTTTTTGTGGCCGCATTGGCTGCCTTGTCTAGCAGTGTGACTGTGTTTCTCCCACGTTTGCGGCTGGACGGGGATCCGTCTCCGTTCTGACGGCCGGGTGGCACTGAGCTCGGTGTTCAGTACACGCTGCGTGTCTCAACTCTCGGCACGCCGTCGCTGCGCAGCAGGGCAGGTGTGGGCACCGCTGCGCGACGCCGCGGCAATGCCGGCCCTGTGAGACCAGTGGGACACTGGGGCGCCGCGGCCCCCGTCGGTGCCCGCCGGCCCCCGGCCCAGTGTACGGGCCTGACGACACGCGTCGGCTGGTCAACACCAGAGTCCAGACACGGGTCGGCGCCGCGCCGGGGGGGGCCAGTCGCTCGGCGCCGCGCCGGGGGGGCCAGCCGGTCGACGCCGCGCCGGGAGGGCCAGCCGGTCGACGCTCCCGGGGGAGGTGCGGTCAGCCGCCGGCCGAACGGCCCGCTGTCTGGACAGGCTGGCGGGCGCACCGGGCCGGCCGCCGGTCCCTGCCGCCGCCCGACACGGACCCGACGTCTGTCCGTGACCGGCCCCGGCCGTCCACCGACGTCGGCCGGCCATTGGCCGCTGCCGGGGGCGGTGCCGGCGGACTGTGTGTGCGGGGGGGGGGCGGGCTGAGGCCAAGGAATTCGGCGAGGGGCGGCCCGGCCGGGGCTCGCCGTCCGGGGCGCAGTGAATGCGTCGTGTGCGCGGCCCATTGGGTCCACGAGGTCATGTGTGGTGTAGTCACATTTGTAAACACATTGCCATGTCGTGAGTCGTGAGCTACTCCTGGGAAGTTGATATATTTATATTCGTTAGATGTTAGCAATGCCTTGCTTTTAGCTTGGTATTAGGTTCGAGGGCTTTGTTATCCGTTTTGGGTTTCACGATGATCCATGTAAAATGCTGTACTCGTATGTTTTATCATTAATACAATATCAGCATAATCATCTACAAAATATTATTGAATAATGATGAAACGCTTGTGTATTTGTGGTACCGTTTATTGGCTATTGCACCATTCTATTTCCTCCATTGGTTTTGCATGCACTGGCGTACGAGTAAAATCGTCACTTCTCGGCCTGCGAACATTAGACGCTGTATAGTGTACATGTGTAGGCATAACCGATACAAGAACTACATGTTTAGTGATACATAGTACACTCTCCCTGGGCATGACTTCGGCTAGCCGGGATGCAAAATTTAAAAAAGGGCTGGTATGAAACCTGGCGAAAGTTACGTCTTTTATCGGCGGCGTATGTGAATTGACTGAGTTAAGTTTTTTTAGGTTCGATACTCCCTGTAAACGTCTCAATAAACATATCTATAAACGTCTATAAACGTCGTCTTTATCCCTGTAAACGTCTCTATAAACAGTGTACCAGATTTGCTAGGCGAATTACTTAAAAAGCTGGTTAGCACACATTGCATTGAACAGATCGGTAACGTGTCAAAACCGTTTCTTTATGATTCTCATTTTACCGACTCTCAATTCATAGTTGCCTGTATTTACAACCCTAGCAATGCTCGATTAGTCGGGAATTATCAACTCATCAGTCGATCGCACGGCGTTAATCGTCATGGCGCTTTATTGGCGTTAAAACAACTTTGAAAATGGCTTCAATCTCTTCAGTACCATGTGTGCTAGCCAGTTTTCACAATCATTTTCTCAGCGAATTTCTTGCTTTGTTTTTAAACTTTGAGCAGTGAGGTCGCACACTACTGTACAGACCACATCCTGGCCGGACTGTCCAGGTCAGGGCGGCACCTCGGTGCACTGCATACACTGGCCAGGTCAGGGCGGCACCTCGGTGCACTGCATACACTGCTGGCCAGGTCAGGGCGGCACCTCAGTGCACTGCATACACTGCTTGCCAGGTCAGGGCGGCGCCTCAGTGCACTGCATACACTGCTGGCCAGGTCAGGGCGGCGCCTCGGTGCACTGCATACACTACTGGCCAGGTCAGGGCGGCGTCTCGGTGCCCTACTGTCCTCAGTGTCCCCCGACCCGGTCCGGTCGACGGATCCCGTGCCGGCTCTGCCTCGCTGGTCTCCGGCTGATGGGGTCGCCCAGCGCCACGCCGGCAGCTGGTGCGGCCCCTCTGTGCGCCCGTCGGCCGCTGCAGCGTGTGGCACGGGGGCGCGGTGGCCGGCGGGCCCGGCCCGATCACTGTCTCTGCACGAGCCCGGTGACGCGCGGGGCCGGGCTGGGCCGCTGGGCGGTCAGACGGAGCGCCTGGCGCACCTGCAGCCGGCCGGCGTCCGTCAGAGTGCCACAGTGGTGGATCTGAAACACGGGATGGCGTCCGTCAGAGTGCCACAGTGGTGGATCTGAAACACGGGATGGCGTCCGTCAGAGTGCCACAGTGGTGGATCTGAAACACGGGATGGCGTCCGTCAGAGTGCCACAGTGGTGGATCTGAAACACGGGGTAGCTGCCGGTCAGCCGCTGCCGACCGACCTTATCGGGCGGCATAAGGTCATGTTGCCGCCAACAGGACCTTATCATGTTGGCAGGATAAGCTGCCAACAGCTTATCGGGAGCGAATTGTCCGCTACACCTTTTAATATTAACCCGCGCCCTGGTGGGGTCTGTTTATAACGCGACCTGGTGGGGGGTTATTTTTTGCCCCCTCCCCTCGTATCTCCGAAACTTCTGGACGGATCCGCAAAATTCAAACGGCGTTCGAAAGCCCAGTCAAATTTGTCACGGGATATCCGATTTCACTGACCTCGGGGTCACCGATGACGTCACAGGTCAGGTCAAAGATAAAATGTTTTGCCAGTCACGGGTCTTCTAGGGAATGCGCTACAACATCGAATAAAACGCATTTTATCAAAATCAGCGATAGGACGTCAGTTGCCTAGTACATCTATCTTACTATTTCAACAGGATCCATCTGTTTGTCTGTCTGTCCGCCACGCCGTGTAGTGGGTTCAATTTAGCCGGCCTACAGGGCAGACGGTATATCGTAGGGGGCTGAACTTTGCACACCTTATAGGTGACAGAGCGGGTCAGCGCCTTTTCTAGGTTCCGACTCGCTGGGGTGCACGGTTCGCGCGTGGGGCGCGCTGGAAGAACGCCAATGAAATTTTGATCGGTTCTTATATCTTCATTGAGAGCCGGGGTCGACAAACTTTGTGAACTAAATGCATGCCGATCGGTGGCGGGTGCCTCGCATTGGAGGATGGGCAAGTTTTTAATTTGAATAAAAAGTGGCGAGAGAATGTGTTGATTTTCATTCAATGGGAACAGTTTATTATACAAGTATAAAAATGCACCGAGTTTGCCGCAATGCGCCACAATTATCTCAGGGCGTCATTTTTGCCGCAAATCGCACAGTTTTGTCAAATATGGTCCGATATGGGTGCAATTTGGTGCAAAGATGCATGCTCAATCGCCGGGTGAGAATGCGCCGCGTTTGTCGCAATGCGCCACATATGCCACAAAGCGCCATTTACGACAAATACGATTAAGCGTAATGGAATCGCACGAATAGGGGCAGGGCTGGGAACACTTTAAAGGTAGTGTGCCAGCTTTCTTGGACCATATGGAGTTAATGACCCGGATAAGGAGAACCGGATTTTTAGAACTTATCCATACCTTCAAAACTTATGGAAACGTCTTAAATTCTTCAAATTTTGAGTACCCCAGTGCGAAATTCGCCCCGACGGGTTGTCGGTCGTACCCCAACCACATTTCACACCACTATGAACAATAAATGCACACACTAAAATCGCTATTACCGATAGGCTCATCCAATCAAGTTTCGATAAACCCGTTCATCATCATCTCCTGCGGTTTCGAACACGCCTGTTAGGTGGCTTCTGATGCTCGTCGAGGTCGGAATTTCCAAATACGCGTGGTGCGTCGGGCCGCGCGCTCTGACTTCGGCCAAGAAAAATGCGTCAGCTGATCATTGTCATTTCTGCCACTTGCGTGTGGTGTAATGGGGTCATAACTTAAGAGACGGCTGTTTCATATCAATTATTTTACATAAAATCATATTTCAAACCACAAATTAATGTTCGACAGCCAAATTTAAGAAACAATACCAATACAGGCTTACAGTTTAAGGCTCGACATTGTGTTGTCCAAGTGTTGTCTACGATTAGACAGCTGATAACTCATTCCCGTACGTCGTATGGTCGTAACACTATAATGACCTTTGCTTATTGTCACAAGTGCGCCGCATTCGCGATTGTTGCCCGACGCTTGTTTGCAGGTGAGCCCACTACAGTTGTTATACATATCTAAAAACCGATAAACTTTTAGGCGAAAAAGGCACTATTCCAGGCCCATTTTTGATTTTTTTTGCGATATTAGGTAAAAACAGAAGCTTCTTATCCTAGGAAAAATAAAACGGGAAATCTTTCAAAGGTGGCACACTACCTTTAAGTCTGATATTTTAGTACTGATTGGATCCAATTATTCTGTGACCTGACATGACCCAGCGGTGTTGGTAGGGGTAGGGGTAGGGGTAGGGGTAGTGGTAGGGGTAGTGGTAGGGGTAGTGGTAGAGGTAGGGTAGTGGTAGGGGTAGTGGCAGGGGTAGTAGTAGTGGTAGGGGTAGTGGTAGGGGCAGTAGTAGGGGTAGTAGTAGGGGTAGTGGTAGGGGTAGTGGTAGGGGTAGGAGTATGGGTAGTAGTACTGGTAGAAGTAGGGGTAGTGGTAGTGGTAGATGTAGTGGTAGGGGTAGGGGTAGGGGTAGTAGTAGGGGTAGTGGTAGGAGTAGTGGTAGGGGTAGTGGTAGAGGTAGGGGTAGTGGTAGGGGTAGTGGTAGGGGTAGGGGTAGTGGTAGGGGTAGTGGTGGAGGCAAAAGTAGACCAGTGGCCCGGGCTGATCCCATCGGACGAGAGGTGACCTATGTGACCTGGCCTGACCCAAAGTGACCGGGACTGACCCCTTTGACCCGTATTGACCCCGTATCACCCAAATTTCATCCAACAACGCCCTCAGAACTGTTATTTTTTACATGCTCTTCACATTTCCGTCCATATCTACGCTTCTAGACAACACATCGACATGAATCAAACACCATTCGAAAGCAAATTGGCTGGTGCCGCAATTTTTTCCTACCACGCAGCAAAGCAAGTGGCGCAGCCGCTTGTCTATATTACTATTTGAGGAGGGTGCGTCTGTCCGTTACCGAGGTCCCGACTTGGTGGTGCTTTGCGTGGACTACAGGCCAGATCGTTGCACCTAGCCCGGTGAAATTTGCACAACTTATAGATCAAGGATGCGCGACGTGCCTTTGAGGAGTCTCAGCTCGATCGGATTGATAGGGAGCGCGTGGCGCGTGCTCAAAAAGTGCAAATTCGCGTCATAGACTTTACATGTATAAATCGGCGTGCGAAATCGGGCGAAAACGGCTAATTTTGGCCGACACGGGTCCAGTTCCCGTGCAATATCTTGGTGACCAGGGGTCCGACCGGCACGGGGAAAACAGCATCGTGTACAGAATTGAACGGGCTATTGAATGGTGTGCAATGCAGAGGATAGCACGCGCCACGTGCACCGGAGAGGGCACTTTTATTTGAAAAATTGCGGTTTTTGAGGGATTTTGGAATTAATTTTATTTTTAGGTGACCGTTAAATGGAGCGAGTTGAATCAACGCCTATTTGCAAGAGAAAGGTACCGCTTCTCATATAAAAATTGTGAAAAGCTGATTGATCCAAATCAAGGTAGTGCAAATCACAGGAGAAAATGGTGTTTGTCAATTTTGTGCCACTTTATTAATCACACGGGGTTTGCTGCATAACCTGATACCTTTGGCAATTGAATATGGTACCATTGGATAGAGCATTCAATTCTGTCCAATATTCACTCTTCATTTTTGCATGATTAGCAACAGTATCCTTAAAAATGTAAATATTCGAAATCATTACATCGTCATTTTTAGCGAAATTCATCGATAGCCCTCAAAAGGTTTCACGCCAGTTTTCGAATCATTCTAAAGTAGAACGCATGATAATACGACACGGGCACCTCGATGCGATGCATCTTTTTTATTACAAAATGCTTGGCTGTCGAAAAGCAATCGAACGAAAAGGATACCAGCCAAATCGACACAGACCAACCCAATACCCACGGGTCTAAAATAACCCTTCTTCGCGTTGCGGAGCACGCGGGTAACCCTAGTATGCTACTATTAGAGGTCACTTAGAATACCAGGTCAGGGCACAGGTCAGGTCAGTGGTCACTAGTGGTGTCAATCGGAACTTGAATCTTCGGAATTCCGATTTTGTCCAATGTCCAATTCGGAATTCGGTTGGACAATGACAGCAGACTTTGGACAACTTTGGAGAATCGCTTGCTAGTTGCTACACCTCAACATTTTTATAAAGTAATCGTGTTTAACATTGATTGGCTATTAGAAAGCTCAGCTTTCGATATCATTACCATGAGCTGGTAACGATACATTAACCCGCGAGTTGCTGGAGGGGGGCGTTAAACGCCCCCACTTTTTTCGCCGGGCCATAGCATAAAAACGGCGCGCCTGCGGCGCGCCAAGTTTTGGGTACCTGTAGAGAATTGATTTAAGTTTATTGTGACAAAGTTTCAAAAAAATCGATCGGAAAATTTTTGAGATATCGAGGTTTTAGTGACGTCATGATTTCTGAGTTTTCGACCAAAAACGGCATATGTTCAAAAAACAATATAAAATCACAGAATAGACATACAGACATGCCGTAAACGCCATTAGACTGCCAATACCATGAAGAATCAAATGGCTATCTTCGATTATTGATTATCGTTCCGCATTTTCCAAAATCTTGAACTGAATCTCGGCAATTTCTCGTGACTACTTCACCACCATGATACATGCATTTTTTAAATTTAACTTTTTGAGCCAAACACGTAAACATATAATAAAATGAATGTCACCATCGTGTTCTACGCCCCAAATTACCCATAAAACATGTGTCACAGGCTGCGAATATCAGTTTTGATTTTCGGGGATATTTGCCTACCCGGTTGACCTGACCTTGACCCTGACCTATGCTTGACTGACCTCTACATGGAGCTGACACTCTTGTAGGCCTTATATGATGGATTGTGCACCGTTTTGACAGAGTTTATGACGAGAGGCGCCAATTGCGAAGTCCTGAAGTCCATGCTACTGAAAGCCCGATTTCAGGTGTTTGACCTGACCTTGACCCCACCTGTGACCTCAAAATTCAACTTTAAAGTACTCATCTGAAGCGTCTCGTCGCGTTCTTTCGTTTGCCGCCTCGTGCGTTTCGCTGCGCCTATTGGTTCTCGAGTTATCGGCTGGGGGCGT